GTATTACTGAACCCGTTGAGTAATAGTAGTACTAGCAGTGGGGGCTGGTCCCCCACCTCCCTCCGTGCCATTTTAAAATTTAATACTACACCCCTCCACTTAACCAAACATGATGTCCTCCTCCAGGGACTTGTCACTCCTGACATGTCCAAAGTATGTAAGACAAAGTCTTGCCATCCTTGTCTCTAAGAAGCACTCTGGCCTTACTTCTAATACCAATCTGTTCGTGGTACTTTTCAATATTCTCCTCCAGCACCACAATTCAAATGCATCTATTTTTTATGGTAAATTAGGGGATGGTTTATAGAACATATCAGTTTCCTATTCATACCCATTTTGTTTCATGTTATTGATTGCAACCTCTACAATATAGCATTTGACTAAACCCTTTAGTCAAAGTCACCTCCATCCTCTGAACCAGCATACCCAACTACCCACTGAGTAGATGCTAGATGAAGGATTCCAGGTTGCACTGAGGGTTAGGCACTAGGCTGCTAACCACAAGAGGCCAGTGGTTCAAACCCAGCAGCTGCCCAGAGGGAGGAAGATGAGACAGTTTGCTCCCACAGCTCTGTTCTGTCCCGTGGGCCTGAGCTGATCCAGTACACAGATGAGTGTATGCTGGTTGATTTTTTGGAGACTGGGGATGAAAATTAACCAGGGGACCTCAAAATGTTCATGGAAATATTCCATTACTTTTTAATTAAAATTTTCCATGAACTTTTTGAACTGAGTATGGCAGTTACATAATCTCCTGTCCCCCTGAGGGAAGGGGGGGAAGTCTAGTTTGTCAACCGGGTCATAGCCAATGAGTCCTCTATGTGGGCATGGCTTCTCCTGAGAATTCTGGGAACTCCTGTCCTCCTCCCTAGAGACAAGACACACTCTGCTTCACATTCCTGTTGACAAGCCAGATGGAGCTATGCTGATGGAGCCAGAGCCCTGGAGCTGGAGGAGCCATGTGGAGACCCACGCCAGTGCTGGATCCACAAGATTTTTCACTCACTGGCTTGATATCTTCCTGCATTTGGCATCATTGCGTGAGTCTGAGGAGGAAGCCATAGGAAGGTGTTGGACGTTTGGGCTAATATTAGACCTATGGACTTGATCTGGACTAGGATGTTTTATCAGTATACAATTACTCTTTTTTATAAAGCTCTTTCTTATACACATATGAATGTCTTTTAATTGATTCTCTAGTCAACCTGGACTAACCCACTGAGATATTATAAAAGTAAAATATCATAAAGGTGGGGCAGAAATGATAAAGTGTATCTACACGAGACAGGGAGATCATCAGTAAACTCAACCGTATACCATGACATTTATTCATTTTAATATTTTTGGTTAAATTTTTTAACCTTTTATGATGAATTAGGTGAAGGTTTACAGAGCGGATCAATTTTTTATCCAACAATTCACACAAGCTTGGCTTCACATGATTGCAACTCCCACAATGTAACATCACTTATCCCCACATTATTATTACTTGTAAAATCTGAATGCATTGTATCATCATCAAAGATGTCTCTGCCATTTGAACATTTACCTACCGACTTGTTATTTGAAAATGCAGACTAATTTATAAACATTATGGATCTAAACAAACCAAGTTTTAAGGCAATACATGATGGGTAGGTGCCCTGTTGATGCAATGCTTAAGTGGTTAATCCAAAGGCTGGCAACTTGAACGGGCGCAGCCCGAGGGAGAAGGACCAGGCTCCCTTCGAGAAGAGCCTGGGGAACAACTGTGCCGTGCCACGTGCCTGATGGGCTGGTCAAGTGCTGGTTCCTTGTGGGGTGGAGACTGTGGTTCTGCACTAAATACTCTTGTTTCCTTCCTTTCACCGGCAAAGCAGACACTGAGGTAACATCTATCGGACAGGTGTTGGTAGCAACCCAAGGACTAGAGGAATGCATTTCTCCCCCCACCATCCCCGCATAAAGAGCCTTCTGTGGGCAGTTCTGTCCTCATGCCCACTTCATTCCCTACTGTTGCCCTTGAGCCAGTCACTAATGGTGCGTGCAGGACGGAACACAGGCTGCCTGGTCCTGCCCTGCTCTGGACCCTTGTGTACCTGATATTCACCAGGGCTTTCTTCTTAGAGACTGAGGCTAGAAGCTCTGCCAGAGTCTGTTCAGCACTACAGCAATGCCCAAGCCTGCATTGGCAGAGGGCCGGCTGGCACTGGCTAGAAACAGAGGCCAGGTCTGCCTTGGGGAAGAGAAGAGCTCTCCCACCGAACTGCCTGCCCTGCTAAGAAATGTCAGTGCCACCAAGGCCACAAAGCACTGCAACACACAAGATGTTCTTGTTCCCCCAAGAACCAATGGTCACACCTTTGGGAACAGTGTCCGACATGAGCGTGGTGCGGTTTCCCAATGGCAGGCAGGCCCTGCACGTAGGAACTCGGACATTAGCCAGCAGCTGAACAGGAACAAGACACCATATAGCCTGATGTTCGTATCCACAGAGGGGAGCACAGGAGGGCAGGGGTGGCCCTCCAAGTGGTGGACTAGCGCAGCGGCAGTCCTGGACGGGGGCCGTCCCTCCTTCTGTCTGTATCGGTGCTGGCCAGCCTCAAGGAATGCAGGACCTGAAAACAGGACCGTTCCCAACCCTTGGTTGTTGGTGGTGCGGGGGCCCCCCACAGTGTCCCTCCTTGACAGAGCAGCAGGGCCCTGAGGGCTTCCTAGGCTGTCATCTCCATGGGCAGACTACCAGGTCTTTTCTTCCGAGGCACCCTGGGTAGGTTGGCAATGCTGACCTCTCAATTAACAACCAAGTGCTTCCCTATTTGCGCTACCAGGGCTCCTTCCTGGTGGAGGAAAACTAGTTCTGGCTCTCCGGTCACTGTTTTAGGAAGGAAAAGGAACTACATTCAATGAAAGTGTCTGAGCATAGGAATGGCTCCAAGGCCTGGCTCAGTTCCTCCCAGCAAGCAGCTGCCAACGCTGGATTCCAGGTGCTGGAGGTCGGCTTCACTGCTTGTGTGAGGCCTCTCACTGTGAGCAGGGAGAGGTGCATGGGGCCTTGGCCCTCGGTGAACACCAGGAATGCTCAGTCCCGCTGATCTGGGGACATGTGGAGGTCCGGGTGGGAGGTCGTCCACTGGGAGCAGCACTGAGCACAATAGTGAGTGGTACCGTCCAGTGCAGGCAGGGGGTCCAGCTGGACCAGAGTGGGGGGCTGTAGGCGGGCTCAGGACCTGGCCAGACCCAAAGTGTGGCTTTCTTTGGTCATTCCAGGGCAGCTTGATCCAGGGACCCAGGCACACCTTCCAATGCTCTACAGGGCAACAGTGCTTTGGGGGGCTTGATCCCGCAGCCGCTGAGACAGGGCTGAGAGCACGCAAACGAAGGGCTTCCAGAAGAAGCTCCAGGAAAGTCCCATCCAGGCAAACTAGAGACAACTCCCAGGCTGCCAATCAGAGCAGAGCCCATGAGAGAAGACTACCCGGGCAGCCTTCATGAAGGAACCCGGGCCTTCCTTGAGTGTGCTGTGAGCTGCAGCGAAGCAGACTGTGAGCAGGGCACGGGGACTGTGCTCCTGGGGCTACTTCAGGGTTGGGACCTTCAGGAAGCAGATCGCTGAGGCCTTTCTCCCAGGCTTCTCAAAAGTCAGCTCGACTCATGGAGACCTTATGGGATTCAAGCCGCCGACTGCCCTGCAAGTAGTTAACCCTTAACTGTTTGTGTCACCCAGACTCCGTCAGGACATCATTATTTGTAGGCCATAAAAAAAAAACAAAAAAAAAATTTTTAATGCATCTTGCTGTGAATGAGATGGAACGAGATGGTGCAAGAGCGAAACCTTTGTGGACGCATGAGAGGCACAGGAAGTCTGGAGCTGGGTACTGGGTGCAGCTCAGGCTCTGGGGCTGAAGACCGAGTGATGGGGACACCTGAAGGCTTGGGAAGGAACAGCAGTGGATGCTGGAAGGGTGGGAGAGGGATGGAAGGAAGCCGGGGCCCAGTTATTCCTGTTGTGGAAAAGGCACCCATAGGTGTCCAGCAGGGTTGATGGGGGTTCAAGGCTCAGAGGCACCCTCTGCTCCCCCACTTCCCAGCCAGGCTTCTCTGGGGAAGGGGCATCAGCCTCAGTCAGGCTGCACAGTGCAGGCTTTGGTGGGATGGGAGGTTTGGGGGTTGAACTTCCCAGAGGGCGGGTCCTTGTGCCAGGACCCACTCTGGCACAGTGCTCCAGCCTCCTGGCGAACAACAGGTGGCTTAAAATCAAACTGGATTCTTCCATTTGCTGACAGACAACACACAGAGTTATGCAGTCCAAGTTCCACTGCCTCGTGAGGCTGATGAAAAGACTGAGGCTCAGGGATGCTGGGACCCGCTGTGGGTACTTGGGAATGGGCGGTGGGGCAGAAATCCCATGGCCCAGTGCCAAAATGTAAGGCACTAAGCCACAGTGGGCCCTCGTCCCACCAGGTGGGGTCGTTCAGGGTCCAAGAGAGGCTGAGTCTGCTGAAGTGCTCAGGTTAGGAAGATTCGATGCTGGCATGCTGAACCGTTATCGCCCAAGAGCCTGTGGATCCGCAGGGCACTGCCACGGCGACGTCAGTGGCACATCCGCGTGGTCATTTCTTTCTGTGGGACAAGCAGCCAGAGGAAGATTAGAGGGGCACCCAGGAAGTGGCACCTGACGTTCACAAAAGCACAGCATGCCTATGTCGCTGAGCAGATACTGGCGGGAAGCCTCTGAAGCAGTCTGGGCAAGAAGCCCTTCCTGCTCCCCGGGGAGCCTTGGGACTCAACTTTGAAAAGAGCACGGACAACGTGAGATTCAGATGCGCGAAGGCTGTATAACCAAAACGAGCCGATTCTGACTCAGAGAGACGCTGTGACAGAGTGAAACTGCCCCTCCGGGTTTCCAAGGTGGGGCTGTCCATCTTCCAGGAAGCAGAAAGTCTCATCTCGGGCAGCCCAACATGGAAGGCACTAAGCCACAGGGGGCCCTCGTCCCACCAGAGACGGCAGAGGCATCGCTGAAACAGCCCTGGTGGCACAGCTGACAGGTATGCGGTGCTTCGAACCCACCAGTCACTCTGCAGGAGAGCCATGAGGCTGCCCACCCCAGGGAAGAGTTAGTCTCGGAACCCAGGGAGCGGTCGGAATTGACTGCCTGGCAGGGGTCGGCTCTTGAACGTCCTCACCAGTGGTATCTCCACCACACCAGCACTAGGAGAGCCAGACTGGGATTGTCCTCACCACTGCCCCTGAGTCAGAAAGTCAAAATGGAAGAACGTGCTCAGCGTATCTCAAACTGGAAGAACTCAGGAGAAAAACCAACAAACAAGAAACAGTTCAAGCCTCAGGTCGCAATATTGAAAGATTCTACGGGCAAAATGGTCAGTGATGCAGGAAGCATCGAAAGAAGATGGAAAAGATACCCAGTCACGGTACCAGAAAGCACTAGTCGACACCCCACCATTCCAGGAGGCAGCACAGGAGCAAGAACCAGTGGTGCTGAAGGAAGACGTTCAAACTGCACTGAATGCATCCACCAAAAACAAGGCTCCGGGAATTGACAGAATACCCATTGGACTGATCCAGAAAGCTGAAGAAGCCCTGGAAGCACTTACCTGTCTAGGCCAGGAAATTTGCTGGGGTGGGGCAGCTCACTCCTGGCCACCAGGGGGCGGTGCCTGGAGTGAGAGCAGCCCCTCTCACAAGGGAAACAGGATGGTGTGGGTGGGGCTGCACGGAGAGGCCCTTCCTGATAGGGGGAGTGTCTAAGAGGACCGTGTGGTGACCCTCTCATATGTAGGGGCTTGCTCTGTGGTGGGGTATTGGGTTGTACCCCTCCACAAGCCTCTGAGCAGACGCTCCATCCAGTGTCAGAGCAAAGTTCCCCCTGTCAGAACCCCCAAACCCACTGCCCCTGATTGATTCTAACTCATAGAAACCCTGTGGGACGGAGTCGGACTGCTCGCAATTTTCAGAGTGTAAATCTTTAGGGGAGCACACGGCCTTATCTGTCTCCTCCTTCAGAGTGGTCAATGGTGAAAGGACAATTCTCACGGTGGCCCTTCCACCCACGTCAGTCTTTTATCATGTGCGGTAAAGCAGAGAAGCAGCGAAACAGAGGAAGGAAGGCCCCCAACCAGACGGACTGACACAGTTGCCACAGCAACGGGCTCAGACCTAGGAACAAGTGTGAGGACGGCGCGGGACTGGGCAGGGTTTTGTTCTGTTGTACACAGGGTCACTGTCAGTCAGAACTGACTGGGTGGCCACCACCAACCACCACATCCACGTCTCTGTCACTCCCACCAAATGATGGGATGACTGGGGGGCACTATACAAAAGGGCATCAGAAAACACTTACAGACAGCACTTAACAACAACAGTGATTGAGGGGATAGGCTCGCTGTAGTTACCGCCCCCCCTGGTTATAAGGATGAGCCGTCTTTGAAGCAGGAGCAGAGCGAGAAGGCCCAGGACCATTGGAAGAAGAGTACACTCGGGATCTGTGATAGTTACATAATCTGGTGTCAACTTGCGAAGGGGTGGAGTCTACTCTGTCAATCAGGTCGCAGCTTGATGACCTCATCTGAAGCCACCAAGGAGATAACTCACTGGAGGCCAGCTACACACTACACTCTCTGCTTCGTATTCCTGTTGACAAGACACATGGAGCTGTGCTGCTGATGGAGCCAGAGCCCTGAAGCTGGAGGAGCCACGTGGAGACCCACACCAGCGCTGAGATGTTTCCACCGCCACTGTATCCATAAAACTTTCCACCCACTGGCCTGTGATCTTCTATTGCATGTGTTGCATGAGTTTGAAGAGGAAATTATAGACTGGTATCAGACACATGGGCTAATATCAGACTTATGGACTTGATCTGGACCGGGGTGTTTGCTCAATATACAGTTGCTCTTTTATATAAAGCTCTTTCTTATACTATGAGTCTTCCTAGATTTGTTTCTCTAGTCAACCCAGACTAACACAGGGTTTCTGTCTGAAGTGGGGGGTAGGTTGAGCTCAGAGGCATCATAGAAAGAGACCATGAGACAGAGCACAAGATCCAGGCCAAGAGGGAAGCCGAGGCAAGGAGACTATGAGACAGAGCCGAGCAGCAGAGCCCAGACTATGGGGCTGAGAGGCAGAGGGACAGGCATGCTGCTCCTGATCCGTGGAGACAGAGGGCAAGGAACCAAGTGATTGAGAGGCTGAGGACTAGAGAGGCCTGGCTGCTGGCTGAAGAGAGGTGTTATGTGCACCAGTGATTGTACCCTTACTGTTTACTGATCCTGACCTGCTAGCTTCCCTTGTAAACCCCCTAACTGTGAGTTCTGTGTGGTCACTGCAACAGTGGATCGCACCTAGCGCAGCAGAGCACCGTGGAGGGATGGCTGCTGTCAGAATAGAGTCAAGAAAGAGAGCGGGTGGAGGCATGTCTGATTTCTGCCTCATAACAATAGGGAAGCCAGAGGAGGTCAGATCTGGTCACCCCAACACCATTTTTGCAGGACCTCTGACCTCTCAGTACCCCACCCTGCACGAACCCCGGTGTCTCGTCAGGGAAATGGAATTTTGGTTTTAGAAATGATGTGGCCGCTCTTGCTCACCCCAGTGGTCACTGCCTCTAAAGCCAGAGCCCTGGTGCACAGAAGCAACCTTCCCTGTGTGGACTTGCTTTCTCGGGGCCAGCTTTGCTTCATCCTACCGGGAGCTCTGATATGCATGGTCCCTGGGGACTCACTGGGCTGATGGGCATAGGGTGGTCACTAGTCCAGCAGGTCTCTCCGGACCTCCGAAGGTGAGGCAGGCCCATAGGGCTCAGGGCTGTGAAATGATGGGATTGGGGATGTCCTGAGGTAGAGAGATCGTCTCCCCCAAAGACCATCTGTGGAGATGATAGATCTGCCCTTATTCAATCCCATCACCAGAGACTCCCTCATGGGGACAGCCGCCTGCTTCATGTCTCTGAGGTAACAGGTCACAGGGAGGGCCAATACCTAGAGGACACAAGGCCCAGACCAGGGTGGAGGAGGCACCTGGCCTCCTGCTATCTCCTCCTGATGTGGACACCGGCTCTTTGGGCGGTCCCCTGCTACAACGCTGGGAAATGGACACTGGCTTGTTGGGGGACCCTGGCCCTGGCCTCTCAAGCTGTGTTACAGTGACCCAGGGTTGAGGGTGGCCCCCGCCCTCACCAGCGGCTCCAGCTCCTTGGGGTCGATGAGGCTGAACTCCCTCACGAAGTAGTAGAAGTGCTTGTAGCAGGTGTTGACGTGCGCCTCGGAGCCCATCTGGGCGATGCGGTCAAAGTGGTGGATGTAGACGTGCACGAACACACGGAACAGGCGAGACAGGATCTTCTTCACCACCTGCAGGAAGTTCTTGGGGAACGGCGTACCTGGTGGGGGCGGGAGAGCAGGCAGGTGGTCAGCAGGCACAGCCCTGGCACACTGCACAGATGCTTGGATAAAGGCTCAGAGAAGTTGAGGGGGAGCTGAGGTCACCTTGTGGTTAGCAGCCCAATGCTTAACCCATTGTGCCACCAGGGCTCCTGATAAGTGCTACTCAGTCATAAAAGGGATAAGGCCTGTACACATCCCAGCACAGTGAACCTCAGAAACCTGGTGCTCGGTGAGAGGAGCCAGTCACAAAGACCCCGTGGTGTCTGATCCCATGCCTGTGAAGTGTCCAGAACAGGCTGGTCCCGAGCGATACTGCAGTGGCTGCTAATGGGCATGAGGTGTCTTTCTGGGTGATGGAATGTTCTGGAACCTGATGACTGCATGACTCTGAATGGACTAAAACCACTGAAGAGTACAGTCTGTTCCCGTGAGGCACGTCCATGTCACTTATTAAACTGAATGTTCAAAACGTAAGTGGTGAAGCCCTCAATGACTGGCTGAAAGGCAGGCGGTTTGAACCCGCCCAGGGGAGCCTCAGAAGAAAGGCCTGGTGACCTGCTGCTTCTGAAAGGTCGAGGCGCGTGGGCAGTTCTACTCTGGGCACATGGGTCCCCATCACCTGGGTGCTGCCACTGGCAGCAACAGAGCTCCAGACAAGACCGTGTGTGAGGGGGTGGGGTTGGGAGGGTGCTAGTCTTCCTGTCCTCTCTCGGGGCCAAATGCAGAGTCCTGCTGGGCTCGTACCCATCATGAGACGGAAAGAACAGGGGTAGCGGGGCAGCCCCCTAAGGTGGGTGGCGAGGGAAACAACGGCCACGTGCAGTGGAGTGCTGTGGATTGAACTGTGTCCCTCTCAACGCCGCTGGCAATTCTGGCCCAGCCTGCAGTTATCAGTGTAACCTCATGCAATACACCCAACTACCATCAGAGGGCAGCCCAGCCACAGCTACGCACCCAGAGAACCATACCAAGCAAAGGGACACCCACAAGCTAATCACGACTCCGGGAGACCCCACGTGATAGGCTTTAATCTGTATGGGAGCAGATCGCCCGAACTGGTTCATGGCGCCCTCCGTGTGACAGCGTGGAACTGCTTCCCAGATGGTTCCCACACTGGTCACCCTTTGCGGCTTTCATACAATGTGGCACTGGGCAGGCTCAACCAACCAACCTTTCGGTTAGCAGCCGAGCAACTGGCCTGAGTGCCTGCCACCAGGGCTCGAGGGAACCCCTGCAGTTACCGACCAGAAAGGTGCTGGCACAGCTGAGACCCTGGTCTGCCCTGGAGGCCAGCGTGAGCCCCCGCCCTCCCCCGACTCACCGACATTGGTGGGGAAGAGGTCCTCGTTGTTGATCTGGGCCTCAATCCAGTCCATCAGCAGGTCCATGTACTTGGGGGCGGGCAGCGCGGTGGGCTTGCGGAACTCACGCTCGTCCTGCCAGCGGTACTCGTACTTGGGGCCGCCGGACATGACTGGGCAGGACTGCTCCGTGCAGCCGTCGCTGACAGTGCCGTACACGAGGTTGACGCGGTTGAAGAAGTCCACCACGTGCACGGCCACCCAGTCGTTCAGGTCCTCGCCCGGGGGCAGCTGCACGGCCAGCCGCAGGTCCAGCCCCGCGTTCAGCGACGCCTGCGCCCGCTTGTGCAGTTCAAAGCGCTGCGTGCCCGGCTCGAACTTGCGCTTGGGCCGGAACGTCTTGTCCTTGTTGAAGACTTGCTTCAGGAAGGGGTTGGACATGGTGGGGCTCAAAGTCTGGGGGCTCGTCCTGGATGCAGTGGATGAGCAGTGACGGCAAAGCCACCGGCTCGGTGCGGCTAGGAGACCTGGAAGGATCAACAAGGGGGAAGTGAGGGCTTGCGGGAGGCAGGACCCCTGGCCACTCTGCTCTGAGCACACAGGCATGCGGCCTTTCCCAGGGCTGCGGTTCACCCAGGCTCAGCCCCACTGGGTGGCTCGGGGCAGGTTCTACGCTCCCTCAGGGAGACCCAGGTGCTCCCTTCAGGTGCAGCCACCAGCTCTGTCTGTCTGTCTGTCAGCGAGGCTGCGGGTTGCCATGAGGCTGTGCAGGTGTCCATGACACGTCCAGACTAAGGCAGACTAGGAGGAGAGGCCTGGTAATCCACTTCCAAAAGTCAACCAGGGAAAAGCCCACGGGTCAGAGTAGCCCAACCCCCGCCCCCCCAGCATGGGGCCCAGGCAACGGGGTTGATACAAGCCAGGGTCTAACTAACCACACAGCTAACAGCAACCACCCCAGCAGAAGAGGAAAGATGGTGCTGACAGGAGCGCTGGTAGCACGGTGGGTTAGGCACTGGGCTGCGGACAGCAAAGTCTTTGGTTCAAACCCAGCAGCTGGTCTGCAGGAGAAAAATGAGACTGTTTGATCCCGTAAAGCTTTCCAGCCTCAGAAACTCTATGGAGCAACCCCACCCTGTCCTATAGGGCTGCTAGAAGCAGAACTGACTTGATGGCAGTGGGTTTGGGGCGCTTACTTGTATTTTTGTGCAGTTATTGTTCAATGTGAAGAATGGGGTTGATGTTGGAACCACCACTCTGGACAAAGGCTCCTCTTCGCGAGTCCTGTGAGGCAGAAACAAGTGCCGCCCCCTCACTGTCACGGCTCAGTTAGACCCTTTGGCCACTTACTCACACACGGCAGGAACCCTGGTGGCTCAATGTTTAAGTGCTCCACTGTTAACTGGAAGGCCAACAGTCTGAACCCAGGAGAAAGACCTGACGGCCGTTCTTGTTAGGATTGAACCCTCCAACCCATCTACTGCCGCTGAGTTGATTCTGACTCACAGCGCCCTCACAGGACAGTGCAGGAGTGCTCCAGGGGCCCTCCCAGGCCACGGTCGGTGGCTTCAGCAGCTGGGTGGGTTAGAACTGAACACTTTAACCACTGTGCCACCAGGGCTTCCCTGGAACCAGGACTAGGAATCCCTGTGGGGCAGTGCTGTTCTGCGACGGGGAGTGGGTGCATGTCGCTGGACAGGTGGTACTAGCAGATTGTTACGAATCCCAAATCCTGGAACCTGTGAAGGTGACCCGCTCCCCCACCCACCCTCATGGAACCTGTGAGGGTTACCCCCTCTCCTCCGGAACCTGTGAGGAGGCCCCTATTTGGGAGCAGGGTCTTTTCTGCAGCTGGAGAATCAGCAATCGTCTGGCCCGTGCATCGGGCCCTCCACACCACAATGTCCTCATTAGAGCTACAGCGGGAAGAAGAGGGGGCCGTGAGGGGACCAAGGCAGAGACTGGGAAGCTCGGGGCCCCCAGAAGCTGGAAGCGACAAGGAAGGACCTCCCCCTAGAGCGAGTGCGGCCTGTCAGAGCCTTGGTTTTGACCTTCTGCCCTCCACTCTGGAGTCTCTGTGGCCCCAGGAGGCTCAGGCAGTGACGATGAAAACGTTGGCAGCTTAAACCCACCCAGAATCGCCTCGGAAGAAAGGTCAGGTGATCTGTTTCCAAGAGGTCAGAGGCTGAAAACCCTGAGGAGCAGTACCAGCCTGTCACGCTAGGGGGTGCCATGAGCCAGAATTGCCCCTTCTGATGTGGAATCACCCAGTTTAAAGGAGTTTGAGAGGGGGTCCCTAACCCCCAACCCCATGACAGGTCACTGGGCCCTGTTAAGTAGAATTAGGGTTCTCAGGCTAGAGGGCCTCACCAACATGGGCATGCCTAGTGAACGGTACAGACTAGACAGGAGTGGGGGTCCTGGGTGCGGCGGAGCATCAGCTGGGCCTGGAGGACCGTGAGGGAATCGGGGGCTCTGAGGCCAGCAGAGGAGGCAGGGCAGATGGGCAGATAGGAGGTGGCGTGGGAGGGCTCTGCTTCCTTCCACCTTCTACCCAGGCCATGAGCTCTGCTTCCGGGGCCCGCCCTTCCTGCACACGGCACTTCTCCTTCTCCGCCCCCATCAGGTCCTTGTGGCTTGTGGGGCAGCCACCTTCCTGCTCCCCATGCCAACCTCATCTCTGTGCTCTTTGCTCCACTCCCGGCCCGGCCCGGCCCCCACTATCTATAACTGGTCACTTTATGGTGGCCTGTGTGTGGCTGTGATGCTGGAAGTTAAGCCACCTGGGTTTCAAATATCACTCATGGTGCACAAGTTTCCGTGGAACTTCTAGACTAAGACAGACAAGGAAGTCATCTATTTTTGAAGACCTGACGGAGGCATGAGGGCACTGTGGAAGGCAGTGCTGGGAGGTGGGGGGCAGGGCTGCCCGGCAGTGTCTCCTTCTGCCGGGCATGGCGTCAACCTGAGCGAGAGCTGCCTCCAAGGCCCCCTCTGACCGGTGGTGGTGGTGGCGGCGGCAGCAGCAGCAGCACAAGCAGTGTGCCACAGCAGAGGCTAGCAGGTAGAATGATGGCCCCCAGGTCCCCCACCCCCGGGAGACCTGTGACGATGTTTCCCTCTGTGGCAGATGGGTGCGATGCGGAGAAGGACAGGAAGTGGACAGGAGAGCATGGATTAGCCAGGCAGACCTAGTGTGATCACCCTGTCGGTTAAAACCTGTTGGTGTTCAGTCGATTCCAACTGATGCAGGACCCCACAGTCTGCTGCTTCACCCTGAGACATCCCCAAATTGTTGCCTCACTCTGTGATTCCCGCAAACCTGCTATTTCACCCCAGGACACCTGAATCTGCTCCTTTACCCCACGGCAAAACTACCCTCCCCCTCTCCCCCCCAGCTGCGGTCCCAGAGGCTGGATTGCAGGGTGGACTTTGAGCAGGCAAACTCAGCAGCACTTTCTCATCAAGGGGCTAAAGACTGGAGGCTGGGAGCGGGGGTAAGCAAAAGGAGAGAGCCACCTCACCCCCACCCCAGGGTGCCTTGAGTCCACCAGAGGGTGGTGAGGACCTAGAGAAAGTGCACCCCTGTGGGAGTGTAAAATGGGTCACTCACTGGGGAAATTGGTCAATCAGCTCTCCAAAACATGGGGTCTCCAAGGTGATTCTGACCCCTGGCACCCCAACATGGGCAGAGTAGCACTGCTCCACAGGCTTTTCAGAACTCTGGACAATCTCACTGCCATCGAGTCCATGCTGAGATCACGACTGTTTATTGGAGCAGAAAGCCCAGTCTTTCTCCCTCGGAGCTGCTGGTGGTTTCAAACTGCTGACTATGCAGATTGCAGCCCAACACGTAACCGCTACACCACTAAAGCTCCTAGGCGTTTTAAGGCTGGGACCTTTTGGAAATGATCGTCAGGCCTTTCTTCTGAATCTCCTTTCACTGCCAACATGTTGGTGCCGACTCACAGCCACCCTAAAGGACAGGGCAGAACTGTCCCTGTGGGTTTCCAAGACTGTAAGTCTTTATGGGAGTAGAAAGCCTCGTCGTTCTTCCAAGGAGTGGTTGGTGGTTCTGAACTGCTGACCTGTGACTATGGGCCAAGCCTAACCCATCGCATCGCCAGGGCTCTTCTGGGTGGGCTCAAATCACCAAGCTTCTGGCTAGTAGTTGAGCGCTTAACTTGCTGTGCCACCCAGAGAGGAGCCCATCACCCCCAGTCTTGGGTATCCAGCCACAAGAAGTGCAAACACCCACATGGGTCCCAAGGAGTGGTGCTGGTTGCACAGCCCTGTGAGCAGGCGGTCTGGAGGGTATGCGGGTCACCCCTTGATGGAGTCATTGCTAGAGGGAGGGTACTGTCCGGCCTCTGTCCAGCGCCTTGAAGGAGGAACCAGAAAGGGCCCTCTCAGACACAGGCCACAGGGGACAGGCAGATACTGCTCACTGTGGTGACCCCCCCACATTTTCTGTCCCTGGCTCCACGGGCACCATACCTCCCAGTTGTGACACGCACACATGTCTCCAGACATGGCCCTGCAGAGAGACCTGCGTGGGGTAGAAGATGATGGCTGACAGTGACAATGTGTTATTGTTAGTTACTGTCAGCTACAACTCACAGGATCCCCTGTGTCCAGTGTAGACTGCTGCCTAGGGCTTCTAATGGCTGAATTCTTGACTGCATGTTGCCAGGACTTTCTTCTGCAGCACCGCAGAGTGGACTTAATCCTCCCACTTTTCAGAGAGCAACCAAGACCCAGATTTACATGGAACAGTCAGGAGGCAGTTGTGAGGGGGGTGCGAAGGGTCATCCCAGGACCTCATCAGCCTTTGTCCAGCCAGCACCCAAGACTCTAATAGCAGGCTGGCCTCTGGGTGAGGGAGGAGACACTGACCTGAGCCAAGTGTCTAGGAGGATGGGATGGTCCTTACTGACTTGGGCCCAACCCACAAACAACAATTCCTCAAGTACCCCTCCCCCCAGAATAATTTACTTTAGAGGACTGCACTGAAGCTGCAGCTCGGGGAGAGGGACTCTTCTGATCAGAGCACACGGGAGCAAATGAAGGGGGAGGAAGAGAGTGGAGTACATCCTGGCCCATCAGGCCTGGAGGACGATATCCCCGCTCCAAACAGCCAGTGCAGAGTGGACCATATGGCTGATCCCACTATGAGACAT